TTGGTAAGGCTGGTCTCAAAACCCTGACCTTGTGATCCGCCCGCCTCAGCCTCCCAAAGTGCTGGGATTACAGGCATGAGCCACTGCGCCCAGCTTATACTGTATCTTTTAAATATGTACATATATTACTTGAATACATATATTACTTGATTAAAAATTAATCTCAATCCTCCTAGCCTATCATAGATAGTATGTATGTGTATATATATATATTTATGTATATATATACACGCACGCACACACACACACACAGACCACCCTTACAATTAGCAAGACACAGCAAGGACTCCTTTACTTTTATAGTGATCAAATTTTATTTTGTGTGTGTGTGTGTATATATATATATACATATTTTTTTTTCTTTTTACCTGCATCCTCTATAATCCAGTATATAGTGATAGAATTTTATTTGGGTGCATTTCCAATTAGTCTCCCTGTGATTATGTGTAACCCTACAATTAAGTTGTCAATGGAACATATGTAAAATTTATGTATACAACTTCCAGATCATGCTCTTAAAAGGCATGGGTGTTTTCCTTTTTCTCTTGCTTATCTCCCCATTGGCTGGAAGAGGGAAATGGTGAAGGTACACTGTCTTTAACCTTGCGGATGAGGAAAAGAACAGAGCCACAAGAGAGGAGTCTAGGTTTTCAGCACCATGGAACTACCATACCAGCCTTGAACTATTTGGATTGCTATGAGAGAGAGAAACTTTTATTTTGTTTAAGGTATTGTTTTGGTTTTCGTTATAGCAACTGAACAATGTATCTTCATGCACAAGGCATATGAAGAGGCAAATAAGACCAGCCTGAGTGGCTGAGTGCAGTGGCTCACACCTGTAATCCCAGGACTTTGGGAGACCAAGGCGGGCAGATCACCTGAGACCAAGAGTTCAAGACCAGCCTCACCAACATGAAGAAACCCCAGTCTCTACAAAATTAGCCAGGCATGGTGGAGCATGCCTGTAATCCCAGCCACTCAGGAGGCTGAGAAAAGAGAATCGCTTGAAGCCGGGAGGCAGAGGTTGCAGTGAGCTGAGATTGCGCTATTGCACTCCAGCCTGGGGAACAAGAGCAAATGAAACTCCGTCTACCAAAAAAAAAAAAAAAAAAAATGCCAGGGGCGGTAGCTCATGCCTGTAATCCCAGCACTTTGGAGGTCCAGGCAGCTGGATCACCAGGTCAGATTAAGACCAACATGGTGAAACTCCATCTCTACTAAAATACAAAAATTTACCCAGGCATGATGGTGCACGCCTGTAGTCCCAGCTACTAGGGAGGCCGAGGCAGGGAAATCACTTGAACCCAGGCAGCAAAGGTTACAATGATGGGATTGGGGGGAGAGGAGAGAGAGACACAGAGAGAAAGAGAGAAAGAAAATAAGCTACAGATGGATTTCAAGTCATATAGAAACTTTTTCTAGCTGGGCACGGTGGCTCAAACCTGTAATCCCAGCACTTTGGGAGGCCGAGCCGGGTGGATCACGAGGTCAAGAGATCGAGACCATCCTGGTCAACATGGTGAAACCCCGTCTCGACTAAAAATACAAAAAAAAA